GGCTTGAAAAATCTTATATAATCCCAAGATGATGTAACTCTGTGTGTGTGAGTGAGCCTGTATCAGTCAACGAAGCTGCATTAAACATTCTCCAATGCCATTCACACAACAAGTAAACATAAATTTCCCCCAACATTCCTCACCCTGTCTATGGGCCTATGGTTAGGCAAACATTGTCCTCTCTCAGACATTATTCTGTGTTTGACCTGAGGTCTTTTTCATACCAATAGTCTGTAGATCTATTCATGATAAGAAGTCGCTGTGGTTTTATAAAGTAAACACAGCAAAACCTCTTTAACCCTAATCGGCAGACCTCCTAAAAGGTCCTGAAATGAAACGTTCACAAAAGCTTAAATCCAATAAAAGGCACTTTGTGAGCGGAGCAGTAAATTAAGTTAAAAGAGAAAGCCTGTGTATTTGATTGAGCCGTGCCAGTCTTTGATAGAGCGCCCCATGTTTATGTTTGTAAAGCAAGGCTGCTGCGATATTGTCTGGTATGTGGAGAGTCATAAAGGTCTACTGTTTAACTCAATCTGCAAGATAAACAGCCGTGGGCAGGAGAAGCTCAAAGGATTCTTATGAGTTTGTTCCCATCTTTCTAGAACTCTATTTTGGTTCTCATTGCTTCACTGGCTCAGTCCTTTCCATAATCTTTGCCAGATTGATCTGTTCTCTTCATCCTCTGAGTTTTAGAAGACTGAGTGGGAATTTTCCTGGACTGAATGTAAAGATTCGTGGTCCAGCTGGGGGTCACCTCATTCTGTGGAGAAGGGAAGTTTGAGAGGTCGCAGGTCAGGACTGATGGGTGCTGTTGGCACCGACCTTAGGGGATGTGTAAGAGCGACTACTCATCAGATTGATAGACAGCTAGGCCAACTGAGAAGTTATCCTCACTTCCTCTGTCAGCAATGGATCTATTCTGGTCTTCATTTGGTTCATTTTGGTCTTAGGGTGTTTATGGGGAGAAAACAAATTTAGTAAAGCTAAGCTGTGATAGGAAAAAAAATGAATGGATGGTTTAATCGTTTTAAAAGTATTCTTATTTTAAATTTCAGAAAAAAAATCATAATGGGGAGAGATTCACTGAGGATGAATAACAACTAAATTTCGGCTCTCCCTGCCAGTGCTTATTTGGAAGCTGTGTGGATAGATGACTAACCAAGCTTAGAAATTGTTTACATGGGGGAAAAAAAGTACACTCAATGTTTCAATAGCTTATAGAGGCACCTTGATAAACAGTATTTTTAAGTCGAGAGTTCTTTCAGAATTTATCAGACAGCATTTCAGTTAAGTTTAAATCTGGTCTTTGACTGGGCCATTGCGAACCCTAACACCCTAAGTCATTTTAAAACCCCATTTTCAACTACTCTTTTTGGACTAAAATGATTGTTTAACCTTGTATTCATTTTCCTGTAAACTCCACTTCTATGAGGCTGGAAAATTTTTCACTTATGATTACATTTTCTTACAGTATGGCTTTAAATCATTTCAAAAATGCTTTTATAATGTGCACCTGATTTTTAGGCATGACATGTTCTTGGTCTTTCTAACTTGGCATTAACACGCAACTGTACCAGAGCACAGTGTCAGGCCCTTCCAACTAAATGCTACTTTTTCAAAACACTGCGGGGGTAGTCTAAGTATTTTGCCTTTCTATTTTGACAGTTTTGGAAATCTCCCTCTTCCATGGCTGTGTTTCCAGGATCCATAATCCACCATCAAGTTTGGGTGGTATGAATGTCTCACCTCATGGGAATTTTGCTCAATTATGAAGAGAGCAGCCAAGATGATTTTTCTCACTCGCACTCACGCATTTGCAAAAATCCTACTAATCCACTGTAACTCTACCATCTAAAATTCTGGCATCATGGTTTATGTTTTTGTATCTATTAGTTAGATGCAGAACTCATATGGTTCATACGCTTGAATAATAACATTGACATTGCAGAGGGATATGGCCGTCACCGACAATAAAGATTTGCTCTTGGTTTTTAAGTGACTTTCCAAGATCTGTATGCATTTGCCACCAAATCACTCTTTAGTTGTGCATAGGTCATGTTCTTGGGGTAGTGAGCAATGATACTTGTCTGTTACAAATAAAGATTTGCATGTTTAAGATGCATGGCAGAGGCAGTCTGTGCAACACCTTTGAGGTCTTACCAGATATTTTTTTTTGTTCTTTCTTTTATTTTTAACAATTTGCAAACCTGAATTTTTATGCATTTCTTTGCGCCACTCTGTGAAGTCATGCTTTTCGTTTATTTCGTATCGTTCTGACAGATTCTCCCACCTGAGCAGTAGCACACGCAGCACATTCTCACTTCCATCTCCAGAGTTATCATTGCCTTCGTGCTTAGTTTGAGGATTATTGCTGCTCTCATTCAGCCCGTTTAATTAGTCAGCAACTTGTCACTGGAGGTCGGCATGTGGTAAATGGGACCTTTTAAAGAGGCCTGTTAGTTTATATATTTTTATAAACATTTTGAGGCAAAGCAAGATTATTTGATCGGCAGATTTTAGTAACAAAGTAATTTAAAGTGTCACAAAACAATGAAACACACAAAAAAAAAAAATAACACAAAAAATACAGCACAGTATTATAATGGAGGCATGTAAAGAAAAAGTCCAGTGAATTGTTTTTAATTTTCTTTTTTTATTCATTTTACTGATAGTAAAACCCCAAAAAGTAGAATCAATTTACTATTTTGCATTTTAACTTGTGGCATCTGAGTAAACAGCTAAAAAGTGCATAACTTACATTTGAGATTTTTACCTTTGTTCCTTTCCTTTCATACTCAAAGTTATTTGTTTGTCTATTAACCAGACATCCCAAACAAATGCATTCCACTGGTGACAAAATGTGACAGAGGGGAAAGGTTGAAAATACTTTTGCAAGGTTTTGTTACTCATCAGACTAAATTAGAAAAGTTAATGTAAAAAAAAAGTTATTCAAAAATAATTAAGCTAATTTTTAAAGGTTTGCATTTTTAGTATGTTTCCAAATTCTAATAATGGATTAATTTTTCAATCCATCTCAAGGTCTTGGTCTGTTGCTCTTGCTCTCAAAAACATGCTGTGCTCTTTCAAGTGTAATTCAGGGATTTATCCAAGTTTGACTGACTTTTATGGAGGAGTTAAGCAATGTGACCCAGAGACTGGCTTCAGGTAGTATTACCTTTACTTTAGCTGTATAGATAAAAAGGGTCGGCAGTACACATATAAACATGTATACCCATATGCACACTAACTCTTTAGGTTGAGATGAAACACAGATAATTAGCTCTAATGAAAACCAGACTTCCAAATCAACTCTGTTTCTCCCCCCTGTCTGTCTCAGCCTGACTTCCTTCCCCCCCTGGTCTTTTTGTGGTGTTGAGGGTTAATGTAAACCAGGGCTTGTTGCCCCATAATGGAGAACTTCACAGAGGCACAGGGGAGAAGCTGTGCTGGTAAAAGCAAAAAAAAAGACAGGCACACTTCTGCTGCAGAGTTTAAACAACCAAACACACTTGAACCCAGACCCCGATTTTTTAGCATGTAATTCATCTTTTGGCCAGTATGTCACATGGAGGCCTGCACCTTTGGTTTGGATCAGTTTAGAGACTGCAAAATGAAAAGCAAAGGAGATATAAAGCAATGATTAATGAGCAGGAGAAAACATGCATGAGTTTGTGTCAGTCATCAAAGGGTCTATAAATCATAGGACACTTAAAATTGAAGAGCCAGATGCCTTCACACTGATAACAAGCGGTCATCCCATTACTTTCAAACATCAAAGAGGGCAGGAGCTAGGTTGCAGGACCCCCTCTTTTCGCTGTCTCTCCTTCTGGGTGTGGAATGTATTTCCCCATTTCATAGGCGTGAGAAATCTCCCTCTTTGTGTTTATAACCTGTATGTGTTTGCGTGCGTGTTTGGAAGCCTCAGAGGTGACATTCCTCCACGTCAGAGCAACAGCCTCAAGTTTAAGATAACACAGCCACGGTTATCTAAGGGTGGGAATCGATTCCCCCCTGTCGGTCAGTGGGGGCTTCAGGGTCAGAGCTGATGACTTTACCTTCTGCACGCAAGCTGTGGCACAAAAACACAACAATGCTTCCATAATCATCTTCTAACAGCCATGCAGAGAATCAGGTTTTCACACAGCATTCACTTTGGTGTTACTGTAGCCCTCTTTCCTAATCCTGCATAAACTTTTTCTTGTGAAGTAGCTGCCTTGAGAATTTTTAAGGGGATATGTCAAAGGCTTTAAACCTGTTGACATCTTGCCTTATTCTCCAGATATAGGGTATTATTTTTAAGCTTGCTCACTATGTGCAACCACAGAAATATGACATCATTGCCACATTTTAGTACTTTATTTTCTTGGTGTTTTTGGATGTTAGTTTTTTTTTCTACATCAGCAGAGGATTGTAAGCTGACAGCCATGTTTTCTACTTGGGGAAAACCCCACATTTATCCAGTTTGTCTTATTTTTCAGTTTTTCAACAAAACATCTGAAAAGAAAAACATACTGCAAAGCATTTAAAAAGCAAGAATTTTAAAGTGTTTTACCATATGTTTTCCAACCCTTTTGTAAAATTTTGACTTTTTATTTGAATTATAATTTTTGCATGTTTCCTTGTCAAAGCCCTTGAGATCTGGCTGCACCTGCAGTTGACTCTCCTTATGCTAGCCTGTGGCTTGGAATACATCTGGGGATATCATATATGCCCTCCATGGTCCTGAATTCACCGTGTTCAAACAGACCCACAGATAATTATGCCTTTCCCAGATCCCTGAGCCCAACAAATCGCTGCTGAATATGCCAACAGTATGAGATGTTTTCTTTTTCCCCCTCCACTCTGCCTCTGTTCCCTTGGGTTCCATCAACAGCCAATGAAAATAATGTTTACATAGACCTTCAGATCATTTGAAAAGGGTTTGACGTGAAAGCCCTGTCATTATCCCATTTATTTAGTCTCAGGAAAACTTGAACAAACTAAGAGACGACTGAAAGATGTGAAAGACTGAATATTTTTATCTTTATTTGACAAATTAACAAATATTTACAAGACAAAAATAGTTTTTCAGTTCAACACTCTGTGATATCCAGAAAATAAATAAGCTTTATTGGAGAAAGCGGATGAAAGAATTTCATACCTGCATACAAAAATAAATACAAGATACTTCATTTTCCATGAAACACTGTCACAGGGAATGTGGAGTTGATTGCCTTTTTTTTTTCTCTCGTGTTTCAAAACAGAGCAGTTTGTCAGGGGCTCTTTTTGTTTTTACAACATTCATAGTCGCAGTGGTCTCTCTCTTTCTTCATATCCGCCCAGGCTGTCCTAAGTGGTCCCATTGCAAACATTACAATCCATGCAAAGGGAAATGTGAACGGACTGCTTCCCTCAGAGGCCTGAAGCGAAGCAACTGATCCGGGGTCACGGCTGTCTTTGGCCTGATTCACTGGTTCCTCAGTCTGTGAAAGAAATATACGTTTTGCATAAAAAAACAAATCTCTGTAACCAAACATCGATTGTGCAAGTTACATGGATAACATCTTGGGATTTTTTTGCCAAGGAAAGTTTATTAATAGTCTATCTTTGATGCATAAAACTTGGTGAGTGATGTATGACTACATTAGTATGAATTTAAATGAAATGCTTAAAACCATATTTGATCTTTTTGACCAATAAAAAAGTCCTGTAAATATATACCATACAATCCTTTAAGACTTGTATGCCTAAATTCTGTTTTGAAAGTAAATATGACATTTCTTGCACTGATAGTCCATCCCATGCCATCAATGTTTTGCAATAATAAAATACAAAGGGTTTATACAACTATTAAACTATCAAAATCTTAAATAATGCATCTAATCTAATAACCAGGCAAAACATAATTTGATTCCATTAAAATAGCATATTCTGCAGATGATATGGTGTCATGTTTGACTAAATAGCTGTTCTGTGAAACTTGGGTAAGCAATATATGATATTGCCAATGCCCAAAGAGGTAAGCTTTATTTCCTTTGATTTTTTTTTTGTTTGTTTGTTTTGTTATGTAGATGATATTGAATATGTTTTGTCCAAATAAGGTTTCATCACTGTGTGTTGGCCATATTACACACTTAATTAAAAATGTATTGTATTAAATATTAGTATTGGGGTGATGCAGATTACTGAGTCCCAGCTTACCCTGATGTCTCATCACAGACATCCCAGGTCCGGTTAGTGGGAAGTGGTGGACAAGGACCACGCACCTCCCATCCTCCAAACTGAGAACGCGTAGCTGAGGCGCTCGTGCGCCACGTAGCTGCAACTGGTCCCTCGAGCGTCCAGCTCGTCGCTCTGCAGGACCTGGCACAGAAAGTCGATGTAGCGGGCCGCCAGCTTCAGCGTCTGAATCTTGCTGAGCTTGTCGGACGGGAGGGTGGGGATGATTTTGCGTAACGACGTGAACGCTTCGTTCAAGGACTGCGTCCGTTGCCGCTCGCGGATGTTGGCCATCACGCGCTGAGTCTGCAGGTCGTCGAAGGAGCGCGCGGGACTGTTGCTACTGGCCTCGCTCCCTCCGCTCCCTCCGCCCTCACAGATCTTCCTGCACTTTTTCTTGCTCCGGATGGGACTCGCCACGCCTCCCTCCTCCTCCTCCTCGTCTGTGCTCCTGCGCGCTGCGCGCCGCTTCCTCGCCCCTCTCCGTGGCAGCTGACGGTCGCTCTCCTCCTCGCTGTTCCCGGCGCTGTCCATCGGGGAGGAGTCGTCTTCCCGCATCGTCTTCACAGAGGTGCTTACTTTGGCCTATTGTAAAGCTTTTAACCCCTGACCCAACTTCTCCGTAAGTGTCACAAATATCAACAAACAAACCCAGCTATATTTAGGCGTATATCCCGCACTGATTTTAGATCTTGATAAGAAATCTGGTGCGCCACAAAAGAGGGAGCGGTATCTGCCAGGCTGGGGCGACCCCAGGCTCTTATACTGGAGAGGCCAAGAGGATTTTGGGGAGGACTCTGTGATTGGGAGAGGAGGGCTGTAATATAATACTGCAGGAGACGGAAACTTAGGAAAAACTCCTTAAAACATGCAAGCTTCTCCACAAAGAAGTGGGAGGATGTGGCGGGGCAGCGTTTTTTAAGTCCTGCATCTTGAGCAAACATGAGCTGTTTAGAGATATTTTTTTCTTTTTTCTTCCTTCAGAGCCGGATGGTTTTTAATCAAAAACTGATCAAATAAATTGGATTGGATTTGATAGAAGCCAATCAACAGACCCCTAGTTTATTTCATAAATAAAAGTCATCAGTCTCTGATGAGGAAGCTCTTTTGCATGGTTGGGTCTGTCTCTCCTCCTCTTTTTTTTTTTTCAATACTCAATATTTGTTTTTAGAGTGGACAGTATGAAGTTTATCACAATGCAACCAGCAGGTATATTTTTGGCATTGTGGATATATGCACAGTTCTGCTGGAAAATAACTCTTCAGCTATGAAGCGTGTCAACAGGGAAACATGAAGTAATCAACCAAATTGCATTCCTTTTACCTCTTCATATTTAGTGATCTAAAAGTTTGAAATTAAATAAAAAATTATCTTGTTCAAAACACTCATTTATTCCTTTTGCCTTTAAGGTGCTTCTGATTATTTATCTGGTTTACAAGACATGTAATATGAGTTAAACCCCTTGAAGCTAATGTCCTGGATATATAGGTGGCCGTTAGAGGTCTGACTCCAGCTGTATACAATGTGAATCTGTCCAAATTTTATGGCTGGAACTTGCTTCTAATTCCTGAAAAAAGTAATGCAACTGCTTGTGGGAGTTTCTTAGTAATATTTTGTTACTGTAACACAATTGTTTTAATGTGCTACCCTGCTAACATGAAACAAACGTGTAACAATAATTAAATAAGATTAATAAAATACAAGAACTGTTGCATTATTTAATCTTGTTGCTTGGGGACACTTTTATTTTCACAAACCTGATAAACTAATTTAACCAGAAAACAGAACTCTGAACAGATAGCTTTCATTTAGTAACTTTTTTTTTTTGTGGCTTATCCTCTTTTTGCATGATAGTGACTATTGGACAACTATTAACAGACAGTTAGTGAAATGAATGTCACTTCCCATTATTATAACATCCCTTCATTTGTTTTTTTTGGTCTTGTGCAGTATTGGATTGTTTAATAAACTGAACTTTGTGTTTTATTTAACTGTAAACTAAGATCAGCTGGGTTAATCGGAAATAAACTCTCAGAATATTTAACTTTGTTGGTAATTGAGCTATATGCCATCTGACTTTAACTCTGTTTATCATTTTCTATATATTTAAATGTTTAATAAATATACAATTAAATTAGGAAATATAGTACTAATATCCTTAAAAACATATAGATGAATAGATGGATAGATTCAGATTAAACTTTGAGGCATATTCTGAATTTGTTTTCATCCACCAGCAACACCCTTTTATAACACCATTGTTATTCGTTATTTTGAATGAAGAAAGTTTGAATAAAATATTAATGAAGAATTTAAATGTAAAAGTTTTTGTAATGTAAGTTCTTACAAGTTAATGCAAGATCTTTCTCATAATATCTTGGCCTATTGAATAAATAGCATACCAAAGGAAATAATTATAATTATTATTATTATTGTGAAGGAAATGTTGAATTATTAAATTAATTTACATATGATTTAATCTTGGTTTTGAATGGTTAACAAATCTATTTTTGAAATATGTATTTAACACTCTAGCAGACATAAAGTTAATTCAGTGTGTTTATTTTTCATTTCTTTTATGATGAGGCTTTTTCTCAGAGCTTCTATTGTCTCAGTCTTTAGAGCTTGAGCTCACTTTTCTTCAATCACCTTCAAAATAAACAAAAAACAGCTCCAAGATTCTCCTAAAAGACTGCTGTGTGCTGCAAGATTTAGAAGCCTCAGAAGGGAACACCGGTGGTTAAAAAACATCAGACCACTGAAGCACAAGAGGATGTCCCAGCAGGAGTTTTTGCTCCTATAAGCAGAGCGACGTGTTTATTTTCCCGTCAGCTGCCCCTCGTTGAGGTATGCACTGAAATAGGCCCGACTTCCCCGCAGGGGATCGCGGCCCAGCAGCTCAGGTTTAAAGGAAGATCCGTCCCATCCAAGGGTGCTCTTAGGGGCGGGTCGGTGCGCACAGCAGGGTGCATGTATAAGACTGAGATGTAGTGAAGGTTAAATAGAGGAAATATATGAACAATCGTGCACATTCTAAGCTCCAAGCTCTATTAATAGCATAGCATTCATTATTTGTGGGTAAAAGCAAAGACGAGGGAATTTTCAGTTGTCTGAATACCACACCCCATTTTGTCCGTGTTGGCCTTGTCAGCAAATAATGAAAAGTTTTGATAGGCAAAGATGCCTGACGCTGAGCCATCACCCTTGACTGTGAGTTGTAAATTGAATGACAAATTAAGGCCTATAATTAGATGACAGCTCTACCACTCCTGAATAATTAAATGTACTCGCCATATATATATATATATATATATATATAAAAGGTTATCTATCCAGGTAGAAAGTCAAATAAGCACATTATAAAGGAAAATCCCTCTTTGGCTCACCTGCTCTACACAGGCCAGGTGAGACGCTTTGCTGTGTAACTCTCCAGGGTGCTGAAACACTCTATGGCGTTAGGCGTCAATCACTGAAGGATGGACGCAGATCAAAAGTTTTCAAGAAAAAATAGGCTACTTAGTGCTGCTTCTCACAGTTTGAGGGAAAGTAATTTCTTTTCACCTTTTAAATCCACTCAAACCACTGAGTTGATAAAACAAATATTTGGTTAAATGACGTTGTCATATAAGAAGAACGCGAGCAATTAGTTTATTTTCTCTGCGAGAACAAATAAAGAGTATAATATGGAGGATGCAAATTTTTCGTGATGTGAGATCTTTCTTTAAAAGAGGGGGAAAAAAGCACGAGCGTAGGTTGATTTACTGTAGGCTGAGAGTTTAATCTGTGTCTCTGTATTGTTGTGCCTCTGTGATGGTAACATCAAGGTGAACTGCCTTTCTTCCAATGGTAAACCGCCAGCAGAGGGCCCCCATAAGTGAATACGTTTTTCTCCATCAATACAGGTGTTAAAGCTTTGTTTGTAGTGTGGGGTTGCGGTTATTTTGTTCAAAAGAGTCAAAAAATCATAAAGAATATGATATGGTTTCAAAATTTAAATCTATTTATCATTTTACGAATTGAAAAATGTATATATTTTTTGTTTTAAATTGATAATGCGGCTAAATCATTTATTTCTGCCACTTTTTAGCATTTTCTGTGCCGTTTTTGTTCTATGAACAATGAAAAGTGAATACGATAATGCAGCTGCAAATTCTGTTATTCAAATCAAATAATTTCTTGGCTTTTAGTCACCCATTAAATGTTGACTCAGTATAAATGACAATGAGTCAACACAATCCGGCTTGAATAGATTAAACATTAATTGAAGGTGCTATCAAGATTTAGAACTGGAGCCCAAAATAAAGTCTATGTGCAACAGTTTAATAAAACCACTAATACTGATTAAAGCAACGATAAGAAAAACACTAGTTATAAACATAGAACTATGTCCAAATAAAACGAAACTTTTCGACCTCTGCGGACGTTTATTTTTTTAAATCTGTGAAATTTCGGAAACCTAAAGCAGCTCTTTCATGTGTCTAAAAAAAAAAAAAAAAAAAAAAAGCAGCTGTCACATAACTGTCTCAGGTGTTCTCCAGCAGGTCCATCATGAATGAGATGTAGACGATAGCCAGGCGCAGGGTTTCGATCCGGGACAGTCTCTTCTCGTACGCAAAGGTCGGAACCTTTCTCCTCAGCTCATCAAACGCTTCATTCAGGCTGAACATCCTCTTTCTCTCCCGCACGTTGGCCGCCTGGCGCTGGACGCCGGTGATGATCCTCCTCCGTTTGGACCTGCTGCTGCAGCACCTGGATGATCCGCTCATCGGATGGTCGAGACGCACTCTGTCCTGCGGGGCTCTGCTCCAAGAGGAGCCGTTGATCCGCGTCTGGTTGTTTGTGCAGCAGGGAGCGATGAACACCTGCTCCTCTTCTGGTCCTAATTTCTGAGAGAACCCGATCAGGTTCATATCATTGACAAAATTTATCAACATGGATTCGTGAACGTCCATGGCCAGTCTACAGCTGTCAATGCGCAGGGAAGTCTATTTAGTTTGTCTCCCTTTCAGGGGGAAATCAGACTCCAGTCAAGTCTTTAAATGGGTCACCAAACACAAGTGCATCCAACCTTCTCCATATCCCTTCAGCTCTCTACAGGGTTAGATCCTACTTGGCTGCAGTCCAATGGCCTTTTCCTGCGGTTTTAATAAGTCACCCACACCTCTTCACAGCGCCACATCTTTCATAGCACCTCTGCTTTTAAATTGCATCTATTCCTCCTGTTAGTCCAGCTTTAAGAAGGGTTGAGAGGAACCTGGAGGATTCTGCCAATTGATGCCTTGTCCCCCAGAGGCCCTTAATGAGCTTCTGAAGAACGGAGGCTCTTGACAGAAGGTCACACAGTCTTATTTGCACTCTTCTCTCGGCCTTGGTTGCTAAATAATGACACTTTTAACACTTAAACTGAGCAGGAGGAGACCAAACAGAACTTTCTCTGACAGTCAAAAGCTTTTCTGTTGCAAATCAAAGCAAATAGCTGCCCGTTCCCATGGTAGAAAGAGTCCACACTGCAGAATCTGCTGAGAAAATCTCTATAGCGAGAAAAAAGTCTCTCTTTTTCTTTGTTTTTCACATAGAAAAATACATTTGGGGGAGTTTTAAGTTGCTTTTCATCAGTTGTTCGCTTGAGGGTCTTTTCAACTTTATTAATTATCAATACTAACATTTTGTTCATATATAATAATTCTTATATTTTTCTTTTAAATGAGTACCTCCTAATCAAGAATTAGGCGATTCCAGGGAAAAAACAACACAAAAAGCTAACGATTTATACATTTCAAATTTGCCAATTAATCTTCAGCTGTTTGTGCCATAACATGTAATGGCTGATTCTTTAAACTTTATAGTTTAACCTGTTTAACCTTCAGCTATTTTTGATTGAGAGATTTATTGTTTCTAGTCTTTAACCATTGCCCCATCACCTGCTTCTGTATTCAGAAAAAGGGAAACTTCCATACAGCATCATGCTGCCACAGCAAGGAAATTTTCAGATTGATATATGTATGTGGTTTTCACACATAAAAATAAATAAATAATGCAATTTTGATTTTGGTTTTGTTTGACCAGAGTGACCAAGTTTATTTGTATATCACAGTTCAGTACAAAGCAAGAGACAATTCAAAATTCTTTACATTAATTAAACAATAAAATAAAAGTACAATAAGAAATGAAAGATAAAAACATAATAAAAGCAGGTAGAGCAAATACAGTATTTGGACCACAAACTTAAACTAATGATATCTTAGTTAACAGTTTAAAAGTCAAAGGCAATTCTAAATAAATGAGCTTTGATTTAAAAGAACTACAAGGCTAACTACAAAGTGCAAATTCGATTTTGCCACTGATTTGCCAACATATTTGCTTATCTTGGATTGGCAGCTCCTTCAGTGATGCCATGGGTCTCTAAGTTGCATCTTTTTTCCTTTCACGCTAAGTGGAAGCCATGCCTCAGAAAGTTTGCAGTCCTGAAAAACTGTGCGAGGTGCTATAAATACTGACAACCTTTGATTCCATTATTCAAATATCGTCAGATATAAAAGCACATACAGTAAAGACTTAAGCATTTTAATTAAATGATGCTAAAAAAAGTGAAATATTTGCTGAACAATTTCTATTTTTAATTAGCTTTTTGTCACGACAAAAGCAAATTTTTGTCTAACAATCATAACATGACATTTTGTGTAGCCTATTTACAGAAAAAAACATGTTTGTTCCAATAAATGCGTCCTACTTGGTGCTCTACCATGCATCCCTTGTTCAGCATGCAAGATGTTATAGGCCAAAAAAAAAAAAAAAACATGATGAATGCTCTAAATATGATGATTTTATTTTATTTCACTTCCTTGAATCATTTAATAACAATCCAGACTGCTGGAAAAATGCACTAGTTTCCACCTTTTTGAACCAGTTTTGATATAAGTAACATATTTTCATCAAAATGCATTTCAATTTGCAGCTAACCTAAGAAAATACTTTGCATTTATATGTGATGCACTTTTAGGACAGTTCCAATTTCTTAAGGTCACTATCCATATACCTTAAAAAACAAACAAAAAAACTCTTCATCTTTTTCTAAATGTATGTTTCTGTTGAATTTTAAGTATCTTCTCCATGTCGCTCTAACTTTATCTGTGTCTCACTTTCATTTTGTATATTTTCCTGGCAGCCAGATACTCATGACGGGACATTCCGTCGGTTGTTAGGGAGACGCTGTGAAAGCACAGCTGGGTTGAAGAATATGAGGTAATCTCACCCTGGGGCTGCTTAGCAAATATTGGTCTTAAATAGGGAGTAAAACCCCAAAGAGGCATGCAAACAGAGTCACAGGGACACACACACTAACAGAAGCACATGCACACACCTACCTACAGGGGTTTATCCCAGTTTTAGTCAGGACATTCCTAAACACAGACACTCATAATGGTTCATTTCCTGCCTTGCTCCCTTATTACTGACTGCAATGATTAAAATTAATTATATTTGACTTGTGACGGTATTGGGGGAAGACTATAAATGTATGTCATGTAGAAGTTCATTATAATAAAGAGTGCTATCAAGGGGTCTGAATGCTTAATTCGGGGAACTATCTTAATTTCTCAGCATTAGTTAAGGAGACCTTTTAAATATGCTGACAAAACAGGTAAATGAGAATATAACTTTGTACATTTCTTAAAGTTTAACAACACATGAAAAAAGCTATTCACCAACTATAAATGCTATGGATCTTTTATTTTAAACTCCAACACAAATTTCAGCTAAGTCCAAACATTGTGGATTAAAATTTGTGTTCATTCACCATTAATTAACACTTACAGTTGGAATTCTATTAGGATTACCGTATTCTGTATTAGTCTTGGGTATGACCTATCTATTAGGTAGAGTAGACAGAGTGCATGGCCTTCCTTCACATAGTGCATCACTTTGTGAGTATGGAGGCTATCTAATTAGGACAGTCCTTCTGACCGAACAATAAACACAGGATAATGATACATCCCTAGACTGATAAAGAAGGGCATGTCTGCACACCTGAGGAGTAGATGCAGCAGGGAAAGAGGTCAGGGTTTTGATGGCGTTTTGGTTCCTGAGAAGCACAGCTAAGCATCCACCTGATGAAACACATAGACTCATGAGATATAAGAAGCAGGAGATTACCTTGTTCTGGGCTCAGTTTTTGGATGCCATCGCCCGCTGACGATTTTAGCCCACAGCTGTGCCGACTCGCCGCAATTTCTCTGATCTGATCTGTAATAAATTCTGTTAAACTTTTACTCCTGGTATTAGTCCTTTTTACATAGTATTTAGGCCTCAAGCTATAAGTGGTTGGACTAAGCAGATTGTGCACAGGAAAAGAACTGGAAGGGAATCTCCGTGGAAAAAAACGCCTTCAGCGGGCCCTAACTTCCATAACAGTCTTTTGGGTTGGGCTTGACCAGCTTCACACTAAAACTGTGCAATTTCTTTCGCTTTTTTTTAACAGGCATGAGCTCGGTGAGATTTGAAGTAATGGTTTTTAACCCTAATTTTAACTTCTTGCCACAGATGATTAAGTGGATTTTAGGTTTTGACTTATGAATTTAGCTGTATAATCAGGGTAATTGTCCTGAAGGAAGGTGATCCTTTGCTCCAGTTTAAACTCTTTTTCAGCCTCTAACAGATTTTTTTTATGAAGAATGGTAATGTATTTAGCTTCATCCATTTTGCATCACATTGACCAGTTTCTCTGTTCTTTCTTAAGACAAAGCAGCTCCACACCATGATACTGCCATCACCATGTTTTCCAGTGGGGGTGGCATATTCAAAGTGATGTACAGCGAAATATGTTTTGTATTTAGCACCAAATGGAATATAGGAAGAAACCTGAGAGATTACAATTAGCTACCACACTTTTCATATGGCTCTTTGTGAGAATAAAAAAAAAAAAAAAACATCCTTTAAAACATGTGCATTCAGCCAACAAAAAAAGAAGATAATTCATGGTATTTAGGGGATCAGAGTCATATCACAATGCTAAGCCAGAGAAAAGAAAAGTCAAAGGCTTGTTACATAAAGTGCAGAGGTTTTGCCCAGAAGAAACTGTAGATTTTGAATATAGAGATCACCAGAGAGTGGTGTGCGTCCAATGAACTGCTGCAGCAGAGCCAGAGTTGTTCTCACAATGTAAATCTATCTCCCTGCACTCTTCCTTTGGCTCTGAGCTCAGTTCGCTGTCAGAGTACGGCCAAAATGCGTCGACCACCTCACCGTAAATCCCCCTCAAGATGCTCCTCTTTGGTTCCTCCTCAAGTTTTTTTTTTCCTATGCCTTTTACAGTATCTACAATGTAACTTGTCATGTCATTGTAATGCTTACCTAATTCATGATCTTTTGAAATAAGGTGCATCATAAAGCACATGCAAACTGTAAATATAATACCATTCTCTATATTTAAAGTTGGCAACATTTCAGGACATAAAGGCAGACTTAAATCAGAATGCTGCAGAAAAAGGAGTTTGTTACATAGAGGGAGTAGAGAGGATTTGTTTAACTTCTGACCTGTCTGATTCTCCTTCATTGAATCACTCCTTTTTCTTCCTTTTAATGCAAACCAAAGCTGAGTCAGGGCACCACTTGCCTGATGCTGCGTCTCTCTTTCTGTGATTGGTGGGGCTCTTCTGCCAGTGAACAGCTATTGAATGTTGACACAGCTGGGTGGCCATGTGAAACATAGGGCGCATGACTTGGACACACTCCAATACCACATCATATATCTTTTTAACCCCTCCCAAAAAGTCCCTCACAACCCCCCACCCCCACCACATACACAGATACACCCACCCATTCGCAAAACCACTGCATGCCTTTAGTTTTTTTCTTTTTAAATAAACATTTCTTTGGGTCAATGTTGCTGAAAATGTCACCACGTGGCTCCTCTACTCAACCATAACCATGTCAGCACCTTTTTTGTTGACTCTAAATGCCCACCCATCCAACCACGCCCACCTTTGGGCTTCTTTCTGTCAGAGTTTGTTTTTCTAGAAACTGGTTTCCTCAGTCCCTACTGTTTATTTTAAAAGTGATAAATTGAATATCAGCAAAGAGGTATACTCTCAGCTAAAGTCTCAGAGTTTAGGAGAAAAAATGAGTCCCCCTTAACCACTTCATACAGTGTTTTAGTCATTTTCCTTTGCTCACAAGTATGCAATGAATTCTGTCTGTCTATTTTCCTCTTTTTGGGCAGATATGATTTTCATTCCTTATTTCTACACGTTGGGCACGGGCAGGACATGGGCAGGGTTTTTTTCTTTGCTCAATATGATACCAGGAGCACTTAAAAAACATTTACATTCTTCAGTTAGATTCCTGAATTTTTTTTGTACA